TGGCCAAACTGATGGATGTCGGATTTGTACACAGTACGTAATCCCATCTTGTTATTGTGAATTGTGTGCACGCTGTACAGACAGCGCCAGCCTTTTACATTGCTGTCTGATAGGCTCCCAGCACCTCCCCGTCTCCCACGTGTGTTGTCTGGCTCTAGGCTGCATGTGCTACAAGAGCAGCCAGCCTTCTGCCTGTGTGTGGATACACAAAACACATGTTATTTATATCGCATCAACAACGACTATTCTGCTAGACGCAGCAATGAACGCTGGGGACGGCGGCCTCTCCATACGCTGCAGCCAGCCTCATGAATGAAGGAAGTCAGACTACAGCAAGACCACGTGCATCCCTGGCTGGACTCTCCGCACACTGCCATGGTGCATGTCTAGGAAGAGGACACAGCCAGCACGATGAACACAATGCGTTTGCCCAGGGGATTGTGAGCGGAAGGGAAGGAGGAATGTTTTGGTGAAGAAGTGACGCAGGAGAGGGAACAAATACGTCTGCCAGGAAGCAGAATGGGAATTTCTTTTTATTAGCGTTTGGGAAGAAAGAGGGGAAAATATTTTAACGGCGTAGTCCTGCTTGTGCAGAAAATGAATTCAACAATAATAAAAATCAGACAAAATAAAGTTTGTCATTGAAGGCTGCAGAACAATGCAATCGAGAGCAGTGCGATGTGGGAGCAGTGCACTGTATAACCTCCAGCCCCGGCGGGACTGTACGGGATGAACGGACAGTGGTGCATTTAGGTTTCCTGTTACCCTAGGCAACACAGAAATTGGCTCCCCCCCACACTGGCCAACACCCCCCCTCCTGCACGAAGACAGCCTGACACCAACTAACACCCCTCTCCCACACGAAGAGAGCCTGACATTGACCAACAACACCCCACCCTCCCCCACAGAAATACCCTGACACCAACCAACACCCCCCTTCCCCACGAAGAGAGCCTGACATTGATGAACAATACCCCACCCTCCCCCACGGAAATACCCTGACACCAACCACCCCCCACCCTCCCCACGAAGAGAGCCTGACATTGATGAACAACACCCTAGCCCCCCCATGGAGAAACCCTGACACCGACCAACACCCCCCTCCCACACGAAAAGAGCCTGACATTGACCAACAACACCCCACCCTCCCCCACGGAAATACCCTGACACCAACCACCCCCGCCCTCCCCCACGAAGAGAGCCTGACATTGACCAACATAACCCCCCCCCCCCCCACGGAGAGACCCTGACACCAACCAACACCCCCCTTCCCCACAAAGAGAGCCTGACATTGATGAACAACACCCTAGCCCCCCCCCCCCATGGAGAAACCCTGACACCGACCAACACCCCCCTCCCACACGAAAAGAGCCAGACCAAGAACACCCTAGCACCCCACCTTGGAGAGACCCTGACACCTACCAACACCCCCCTCCCCCACAAAGAGACCCTGACAACAACCAACACCCCCCTCCTCCACAAAGAGAGCCTGACACCAACCAACCCCCCACGAAGAGAGCCTGACATTTATCAACAACACCCCAGCCCCCCCTCACCCGAGAGAGCCTTCCACTACCATCGCCCCCCACCCCACCCCGGCAAGAGATAAGAGTGTTTCTCAACCTTTTTTCAGTCAAGACACCCTTTAAAATGTTGGACAGTCTTGAGGCACCCCATTCTAAAATGTGAAAAATGTTTCTAATAGTTTTATATAATGCAGCAACATCCACACATGTAGGACTCCCAACATTAGAGGTGATTTATATTCTTCCAAACAAATACACTTTTGCACCCTGGTACTGACTAGTATTCCAATGTTTCTCTTCAGTTTTTCTCCATCACTAATGTGACCCCAGCACTGATGGAAAGGGGCAAACTAGGATGCTGTGCAGGCAGCTGGCACCATCCTTATCAACTGATGATGTCATTGGTTGTCAGGATGCCGGGCGGCTAGAAGGTCATAATGGTGCACAATGAAAACCTGTGGCTTTGAGTAACTAAAAGGCAGGCTTGTTCCACCCGCTGGCCTGTATACATTTTCTGGGCAATTTTTAGACATTTTGCCAAGGCACCCCTGAAGAAACTTCAAGGCACCCCAGGGTGCATGGGCACACTGGTTGAGAAAGGCTGAGATAAGACACTCAGCTTCACAGCTCCAGACATCCCCAGGAACAAGAGTCAGGCTCTGCATACACCATCAAGCAGCCCGCAGCCTCCCTTACATCCCACCTGGTCCCCGTGCTGCGTATGTCCCTTCTTCCTTTCCTTCTTTTGAGCGATGGCACTGCCCCCCTGAAAAATGCCGCCCTAGGCAAATGCCTTGTGGTGGTGTGTACAGACCTTCAGTTATGGAGCTGGAAGAAGCAATGAACCATAAGTGAGGTGGCATCATGGCGTTTTTGCTTCATTGACATCTGTGAGTCTATCTGCCATGGAAGCGGATAGGACTTGTAGTCTTTTGACTAAGGGGCAGTTCACGCAGTCTGCATTCCTGTGTGATTCCTGCGCATTCCCCTGCAGTGCAATTTTGCAGCTCATTCATTAGGATGGGCTACAAATCACATCAGAACACACAAAAAGTAGTGCATTTGGACTACTTTTGAAAAAGTGGTGTATCAAATTGCATTGTAGTGTAGTACCATGCAATCAGGTGCGCACAAATGCACTGCGTTTGCGTTCTGCGTTTGGGGTGCCGTTAACCACGTATTGGTACCTGCAGAAAATAGCACAAGCAATGCATGTGGAATGCAGTGCAGGAAACATACCTTTCCTGCAATGCATTCTGGTGGGAACTGGCCCTTACAGATCCCTGTGAATGGGAGACATGGTTGCGCAGACATAGCCACACACAGCCATGTCAAATTCAGATCAAAATAGGAGGCTGCAGGGAGAAGCACCCCATGATTCAGGTAAAACCCTAAATATGACTGAAACATGGTCTTAAAGGTGAACTTAGTCTTTAGCAGTGAATGCCTGAGTGTGGGTGGGTATTGGGCACTGGCAATGTTCATACAGATATAGGTGTGGGGGCAAAGCAATGCAAGTACAAAGTGCCAGGCAGCATGCAAAACCACACTATCAGAAAAAGAAGGAATTCTATGCTGGAAATAAGGAAATATTCAGGTGGCCATTGCAGATTTCCTTCTGAAAATGCTAACCGCCTGGTTGTCTCTGCCCCCTCGATTTTAACCTAGACCAAAGATGCAGCTAGTGAAGCCAGAACTGCAGCTCTGCATTATTGTGTACAGTCAGGGGCTCAGAAAAATATGAAAGCTATGCCACCAACGCAACAAGTACCCAGCATATTCAAAAGTTAAAGAATTATTTCTCATTTCCGGTTTTACGATAAATATTACAAATGGTTTCTGTTATTTAACTCCCCAGGGACCATGTGTATATAAAACATGGTCCTAGGCAAATCTGTCCCTTAGTTTACAAAGAGCATGGTCAGACAGATCCACCCCGTCCAACAATGTATGTAGATAGGAAACAGATTTGTGATTGACAGCTCTGGCAGCAGAGGGCACTCTGGAGACCAGTGATGCCATTGACAATGATACACTGCCTGGGGCTCTGTGTGTCTATCAGAGGCTGCATTTCCACGTATGCAGCCTGGCTGGGAATTACATAGTGCTGCAGCACTGTGTGATATTTCAGTTTTATGAATGAGTGATCAGTGTGATCAGGCTGTTATACACTGCTGACCAGTGGCAGACTGACAACTCATGGGGCCCCCGGGCAATAGGGGATCATGGGGCCCCTGTGTCCTTGCCCAAACTCAAAAAAGCCTATGAAAAAGGTACCAGGGGCATTTTATGGGGCCCCCCACTGACCCCGGGCCCTCGGCGTGCCCGAGTTTCCAAATGGTCAGTCCGCCCCTGACCCCCCCCCCCCCCCAAAAAAAAAAACAAATTGAGCACTAATCTGCATGCTAAGCATAAATTCCCCCATCTGCAAATCGACCCCCTGCTGAAATCTTCCCTCCCAGTATAAATCTATGCCCCCCCATTCACCCTCCAATCCCAAATCCCCCCACATTACTATTCCCCTCTTAGAACAATATTTATCCGCTGCAGCCCCCCAAATTCTCCCTTCCAACTAGTAAAGTTGATTCGGGGAATATCCAATTGCCTCTTGGGGAATCAGGAAGGCATTTTTCCCCATGCAGGAGCAAATTGGATCAAGTTTTGCTGGTTATAGGTTGTAGGTATAGGATTATAACTTTTTTTTTTGTAACTGGATGGAATTTTGTCTTTTTTTTTGCAACCAGACTATGTAACTATGTAACACAAATCCTCTCCCTCCAATCTCCTTCTGGTGCCCCCACCTCACAGTGCCCAGGGCAGCTATACCTCCTGCCCACCCCTTGTCCCGTTCCTGTCTGTATGTGTAAGAGAGGCTGCTGATGGACACACAGGGCTGCAGGTCTGAGTGATCTGTCACTATTCTGAATGATCAGTCAGTACTGCTTGCTCCTTCATAATAGTGAAAGACCTCTTAGGGCTGCAGCTCTGTGTAATGTATCTGCCGATGCCCTGTATGTGTAAAAGCAGATACTGTGCATTATGAATAATGAAGCAGTGCTGATTGTTTATTCATAATACTTACAGATCACTTGGCTTAGATGGGGGGCTCTGTGTTGGTTGCATCTCTCCCACAGGATGCTCATTATTTGGGCTTCAAAGGAGGTGGGACCTACAGCGAGCATACAGGGAGGCATGTTGTGGATGATGGGGGCCACCAATCAGAATGGGAACCATATGCATTTGGACCCCTGGGGAGTTAAATAAAAAAAAAAAAATCAATATAGCTCTTCTTTCAAGTACAGTTTTAACTTAATTTAAAAATAAAGGGCTGTGGAAAGAAAATGTATGATAGAACATATTTGCATTATTTAGTTATGGTTTACATTAAAATAATTTGTATAAATAGCTTATGATCCTGGCAGTGCCTTCTCCTTCCTCCAGAACGGTGACAACGCTGCAGGGATTACAGTCAGATTTCTGTAGTGTTGTCACCCTGAACAGCTATGTTGTTACCAGGGGCGGACTGAACATTTGGAAACTCGGGCACTGCCCGAGGACCTGGGGTCAGTAGGGGGCCCCATGAGATGCCCCTGGTACCTCTTTCATAGGCTTTTTTGAGTTTGGGCAAGGACAGAGGGGCCCCATGATCCCCTATTGCCCAGGGGCCCCATGAGATGCCAGTCCGCCCCTGGTTGTTACACACACTGAGGAGGGTTTATCGGAGTTATTACTACTGACAACCTTCTCCCTCCCTGAAAATCAGTACAGGATACTCGATCCAAGAGAAGCTCTGTGCTGTTTTAAATGACTATTTCTGCTACTACAGATTTCAGCTGCCCTTGTTATAATGCTCAAGGGACAAGAAGAAGAGTTCATCACTCATGGAAAAGGTAAGCAAAAAACAAAAACCAGCAGGAATTCCTCTGAAGGGGGAGAGGATCAGCACACTAAAAAGAAAGTCAAGGGTTACATTAGTGACAGCACTGCGGTGATTTCACTTGTAAACCTGTCTGGAGAGATAAATCATATAGTGAAGGACGTACATTTATAATATGCCCGTGGTGTGTCATAATTATTTTCATGTGAGCACACAACTGCCATCAGATAGACATCAATATTCATGAGTACTTAGAAGTCTAAGCCAACAGCTGCTATTATATACATCGCTTGACACACACTAGAGACTCTTGGCTGCAACTTAATTGTGACATGCAGTTAAACGGTTAAGCATGCCATACATGGGTCAAACTCAGAACGATTTTTCGTTCGAAATATCGTTCATTCTGTGATGTGATGGTGCCACCAATGACTTCGAAAATCGGTCGTTTTTCACAAATTTTCCAGCATGCCCAATAAACAAAATGGGGAGGAACCACAACAATCGGCCGGTGCCATTGCCCCACCTGATTATTCTTAGATCCAATTTTCAAACTAAAAATCATTGGAAATTTGACCCATGTATGGCCGGCCTTAGTTCACCTTTACTCAATAAATGCCTCCACTGGTAAGTGGCGCCTGTAGGTAAAAAGCAACCTGCTGCTTTGAAAGTTGAGCAATGACTTATGTGTGGGCCATTTACATAATCCTGAAACCTGGGCGAAAAACTCCCAAAGATGGTATCATCCTGTCCTGCCTTGCTGCAAAGACTTCACTAAGACTCTCCCATCCATTATTTCTCTCCCACCATCACAGAAGTTCTTTCTCCAATTTAAATCGCTGCTCATGCACACTTTCTCTCCCGTCACTGTAGCTCTGAGCTCAGTGCTGCTGCAATGGAGGAGATGGTAAACCGCGCATGCGTGGGGGTTTGAATTGTAAAGAGAGCTCTCTCCTGTGATGGTGAGAGAAGCAGTAATGGTTGGGAGAGTCTTTATTGTATAACTTCCCCCAGACACCTTCTGGCCACAGAGGACACCAAACATTTACAAGCAGTGACTGTGGCAGTGTACTTAGTAGAACATCTTCTCCACATCCTCTGCTGCCTGGATGTGCCCCAGTGAAGTTATAGAGACTATCCTGATGCAGTACAGGAGAGGCACACGCTGTATTGGGACAAGGTCATCGAGTGCCCAGGGCAAACGGCACCCCTGCGCAATGTATAAGCATTGTGTCATCAAAAATCCCCTCTCTCCATGCAGCACCCTCCACCTCACATGACACCACAGCACCCAGGGCAGCTGCCCCTCCTGTCTACCCCTTGTCCTAGTGCTCAGAACACTAAATCAGCATGGGGGGAAGAGATGGAGGTTTCAGTACTGTCTATACTTCTCCCATGAGAATGTCCACAAATTGGGCTTCTGCCTGGGGTGGAGCTACAACACACAATAAAATCAATACAGGATCATGTGCTACATACACTTGGTCCCGTGGGGGTATCAGCTGATTCTCAGTCCACTTTAAAGCCCAACTCCAGCCAAAAAAAAGTTTTCCAATGCAGTGGGGCTGTGCCCGCATGCATGGGTTAACTGCTTGTTTTGTCCAATGGAGAAGAGAAAGCTGTATGCTCACATGATACTCTACTGCATTGGCAGACTGTTTCCCCCCACAATCTAGGGGATTGTTCCTGCTGTCCTCATGTCCAGAGCAGGTCTATGGGCGTGATGATGTCAGGAACAGTCCACCACTCAAGATGGCTAGACAGCAGGGGCAACAGGGGACATTCTTGTGTGGGGAGGATCATAGGATTAGGTAAGTATTCCAATCCCCAAGACAAAAATGAGCAATTAATCCGTGCAGTTCCACTACATGGGAACACTTTTATTTGTCTGGAGTTGGGCTTAAAAGTCATTTTTTTTAGTTTTGGATAGAGTGAGGATTAGAATCCATGACGGGTTCTTTTTTATGTCTGTGTCCCCAGTCGGGAGATTCATCCCCCTCTTTGCTCTGGTGACCACTGAGGCAGGAGGGAAAATACAAACATTTGAGATGTCACTACAACAGGCAGTGCGGCAGGCGGGGACATCATTTTGCAGTTACGACTGACTTAGTGGAGATTCCTGTTATAGCTACAGGGCAGGAAATGAAGGGAAGTCTCCCTGATGGAACAGAGATGCATAAAAAAAAAAACCTGGCAGGACTTTAAAGCTGAACTCTGGGACTGATATAAAATCATGCTGTTGCACCTCCCCCCCCCCTCAATAACTGCTTGAATAGTCTGCCTGTGTATTACCTTCCTCATTCTTGGCTCCAGTAAGGGCCCCTCAATCCATTGACCATTCACACTAAGCAGCTTCAGTCACAAGCTCACCTCCTCCTGTACAGGCGAGGGTTAATAGCCCTGCACTGTATGTGATGATGCTGAGAGACCGCCCACAGACAGTGCTGGAGCCTGCGAGGGACAGACAAGTAGTACAGCTCCTGACCTGACCATTGAACCCTTGCAGTGTGGTGGGAGAGGGGAGCACTGAAAATGTAAATTTTGTCTCATTCCCGGAGTTCGGCTTTAACTTTACCTGCTTTATCCAAAATGAAAAACAGTATGGCTTTCCACGGGGCTGCTGTTAGAAACCTTGGGTCCCCATACAGCCCATACAGCCAACCTGTCAGGTCCCCCCCCCCCCAAAAAAAAACAACAGTTTACTATGCTTCAGTTATGAATGAACACAATGATTGATTGGTGCTGATCACTCATTGTGGTCATTCAGGAAAGGAAGGGGCTGATAAATGTGACATATTTACCAGGCCCTTCCCCCATTCTCCATCCTGAAGGATCCAGCTGCCGGAGGTAAGCAGAGGAGGGAAGCTGGCAGCCAGAGAGGGTGGGGACACACCGGGGGGCCTAGGCAGCAGGGGAAATGTATGGTTCAAAGGGAGGGTGATGGTGTGGGAAATGACTGGAACTGATCCCGTTTGGTTCTCTCTGCAGCAGCTGAAAACCAGTTGGAGGAAGAAGCCAGGTTTCCAGTGCTGCAGAGGGAGCCATGCAGGGGAACAGTTCCAGTAATTCCCCCCCAACGCTGTGCCCACATCTGACTCCCCCAGCTGCCTGGGCCCCGTACAGGAGGGACCCCCTTATCCACAGCCCTGGCTTTCCATATATTTTCTAGTATGACTGGGCCAGGGGGGGCAGACCATTCGAGCACCTGGGCACTGTCTGAGGGCCTAGGGTCAGTAGGGGGCCCCATGAGATGCCCCTGGTACCTTTCACAGGCTTTTTTGGGTGTGGTTTGAGTGTGGGCGAGGACACAGGGGCCCCATGATCCCCTATTGCCCGGGATATAGTTTTAACAGGAGAGGAGAGGGATTAGAAGCCTTGTCAGGTTTTTCTTGCTGTCTATGGGAGATTCCATTTGTCCTTATGATGAAAGTGAAAGAAAATCCACAATTTGGGGTTGTCACCAGAACAGGAATTTTCCCGTGGGGACATCAGTTCTGGCGACAACCAAGGATTTCCCTCTTGCTGTTTGGTTATGGGACAGGAACTGAAGGGAAATCCCCCCAACGGGACACGGATGATACAGGTCTGCTGGTGTGTAGCGGAGGAGGAGACTTCCATACACATTCATAGACAGAGTTGGTGTGTGTGGGAAAAGTTCCTCAGTGACAACGTCTGTCTCCTCCACAATGAGGGGGGCGGGGGTCCCGCCTTAAATAACACCTTCCCGGTGACTCGCCCCATGACCTTCCCGGGGCCCGGCTCCGCGCCGCGCTCTATAGCACACTCTTAGGACAGGTAATGGGCCCCGTCATAGGCGGACACCTCCCGTAGCAGGTAGAGCGGGGCGAGGCGGAGAGCGGTGGGCGGGGCAAGGGAGGGGCGCTGGGCGGGATAAGGGAGGAGGAGGAGGAGGAGTGCCCAGCTATGGAAGAAGAAACGGAGGAGGACGAGAACCTGCCACCGGGGGAAGAGCAGGGGATGCGGGACAGCCTGCTTGGGGGGTCCCCGGAAGGGGTGTCGGTGCCCTCTGAGGTGCCCGGAGAGGGCAAACGGGAGGACGAGGTCCGGGGCAGAGTGCCCGAAGGAGGGTTCGGCTGGGTGGTGGTTCTGGCGGCCACCTGGTGCAGCGGCTCCATCTTCGGCATCCAGAACTCGTTCGGGATCCTGTATGTCATGCTGCAGAAGGAGATGGGAGGCGTCGAGGGACAGGAGTTCAAGACAGGTAACACCGTGCGGGACTGCGGGGAGGAGAGGAGGGAGGAGGAGGACAACTTCTCTGTGTTATCCTATGACAGCAGACACGTGCTCCGTACACACCGTACACACCGAGGAGGGGGGCATAACATCCCACATTCTGCACACCAGGGGGAGGTTCACCCCACATTCTGCACACCGAGGAGGGGGCGTAACATCCCACATACTGCACACCAGGGGGAGGTTCACCCCACATTCTGCACACCGAGGAGGGGGGGGGCATAACACATCCCACATACTGCACACCAGGGGGAGGTTCACCCCACATTCTGCACACCAGGGGGAGGTTCACCCCACATTCTACACACCGAGGGGGATCTCCCCACATTCTGCACACCGAGGAGGGGGGGGCATAACATCCCAGATTCTGCACATCAGGGGGGATCTCCCCACATTCTGCACACAGGGGGGGGGTCTCCCCCACATTCCTCACACCAAGGGGGAGGTTCACCCCACATTCTGCACACCGAGGAGGGGGGGCATAACATCCCACATTCTGCACATCAGGGGGGGTTCTCCCCACATTCTGCACACCGAGGGGGATCTCTCCACAATCTGCACACCGAGGGGGGAGGTTCACCCCACATTCTGCACATCAGGGGGGAGGTTCACCCCACATTCTGCACATCAGGGGGGGGGTTCACCCCACATTCTGCACATCAGGGGGGGGGTTCACCCCACATTCTGCACACCGAGGGGGATCTCCACACATTCTGCACACCAGGGGGAGGTTCACCCCACATTCTGCACACCGAGGGGGGATCTCCCCATATTCTGCACATCAGGGGGAAGGTTCACCCCACATTCTGCACACTGAGGGGGCTCTCCCCACATTCTGCACACCAGGGGGAGGTTCACCCCACATTCTGCACACCGAGGAGGGGGGGCATAACATCCCACATTCTGCACACCGAGGGGGATCTCCCCACATTCTGCACACCGAGGGGGATCTCCCCACATTCTGCACACCGAGGGGGATCTCCCCACATTCTGCACACCGAGGGGGATCTCCCCACATTCTGCACACCGAGGGGGATCTCCCCACATTCTGCACACCGAGGGGGATCTCCCCACATTCTGCACACCGAGGGGGAGGTTCACCCCACATTCTGCATACCCGAGGGGGGGGGCATAACATCCCACATTCTGCACACCGAGGGGGGAGGACCTCCCCACATTCTGCTGCACACCGAGGGGGACCTCCCCACATTCTGCTCTGCACACCGAGGGGGACCTCCCCACATTCTGCTCTGCACACCGAGGGGGACCTCCCCACATTCTGCTCTGCACACCGAGGGGGACCTCCCCCCACATTCTGCTCTGCACACCGAGGGGGACCTCCCCACATTCTGCTCTGCACACCGAGGGGGACCTCCCCCCCACATTCTGCACATCAGGGGGGAGGTTCACCCCACATTCTGCACATCAGGGGGGAGGTTCACCCCACATTCTGCACATCAGGGGGGAGGTTCACCCCACATTCTGCACACCGAGGGGGAGGTTCACCCCACATTCTGCACACCAGGGGGATCTTGCCACATACTGCACACCAGGAGGGAGGTTCACCCCCCCCCCCCCCCCACATTCTGCACACCATACTGCACGCTGTGTGGGTCATAACACCCCCCTCCCCCCCCCCCCCCATACTGCACACCAGGGAGGATTTCCCCCCCCCCCCCCCCCCCCCCCCCATACTGCACACCGGAGTGGATTTTCCCCCACAGGTACTACCGGGGTGGATTTCCCTCCCCCCATATTGCACACCAGGGTGGATTCCCTCCCCCCTCCTCATACTGCACGCAGAGGATTACCCCACACCCTACTCACTGTGGGGGGGAATCACCCCCAAATACCGCATACCGGCAGAGTCATCCCACAAACTGCACACCGGGGGCTCCCAAACAACCCCCCCCCACAGTGCACACTGGAGGGGGCTCCCACCCCACACCCTGTACAATGGGGGGATCCCCACACACTGCACACTGGGAGGGCTCACAAACACTGCCCTCAGTGCACAGCAAGGAGGAGCACGCAATGCTCCCTACCGCACACACCAGGGGGGCTCCCAAAGGCCTCAGCAGTACACGCTGGGGGGGGCGCTCCCTCTCCCAGCAGTGCACACCAGGAAGCTTCCACTCCATACCCTTCACACCATGGGGGGGGGGATCCTAACACGCTATACAGTGGGGAAGGGGACCATAACACTCCACGTAGTGCACACCAGAGGGCTCCTACCTCACAATCTGCACACACTGGGGGGGGGGGGGGGGTCTCTCAACACTTCCACACAGTACCCAGTGGACAGTTATTTGTCGTGGGGAGAAGCGTGTCACATGGTCTAAAGACTCTCCTGATTGGGACTGTTATCTGTAATTGTGGGGACTAGATGTGTCTTAAGCTGGTTAGGTAGGTCCTCATATTGCATATCTGCATACTGCCAGATTGTAATGTGTATGTGACCAAAACTGTGTAACATGAGGAGAATCCAAAAATGTGCATTTGGTATATGCCAAATCCAGATAGACCTTGTAGTAGATGGTAGATCTAGTGATGGCCATACACAGAATGGTTTTAGATCTAGTGATGGCCATACACAGAATGGTTTTAGATCTAGTGATGGCCATACACAGAATGGTTTTAGATCTAGTGATGGCCATACACAGAATGGTTTTTCTAGATCTAGTGATGGCCATACACAGAATGGTTTTAGATCTAGTGATGGCCATACACAGAATGGTTTTAGATCTAGTGATGGCCATACACAGAATGGTTTTATACACTATCATCTGCTGGATAGATTAAGGTTCGGTTCACAGAAAAATACACTGCCGCTCAGGAGATGCATGTAGGTACCAATAATCCTAATGACACTCTGCACTTTGCGGTTTCCTTGTGGTTGCGTCTTCTGCTAAGGCACAGGGACTTTTTCCCTGCATTTTCAGTGGAAACCGCAGTCCATTCAAATGAATGGGCTGCTGTGCACAAGCAACGCAGCCACAGGGAACCCATACAAGTGTGATCTGATCGCACATCGAATTCTGCAAAGAATCATTTTATCAGATGATTACACGTATGGTTACCGTTGAGGGGATTGTACAATAAGATTGTATAGTATGGTCGGCTTTACATGATCTGTAAAGGTCCATTTCTCACATGAAGTCCATGTAGATGAGTCAGGACAGTCATCTGTTATTGTGTACACGGCAATTGTAACAATGGTGTGTGTATTACATTGTAAGTTTTCCATTTCTCCACCTCCCCCCGGTGTGTTACATGGTCTGCAGACTTTCTTTCCTGAAGTCAGTGTAGATGTGCCACAAGTTGCATGATCTGTCATTGACCGTAACAGTACCCTACAATGTGTTAGTGTCTGTGGGGTAAACTTTCTTTTCCTGTCCCAGAACAGTTTTTGTAATTTATATGGGGACTGTATCTGTCTCTCAGCGTGTTACATAGTCTGTAGGGTTTTGATTTCTCTCCTGAAGTCAGTATAGATTATCCCAGGACAGTATTCATAATTTTCCAGGGGACTGTACATGTCTCTGTGTGTTACATATTCTGTAGGGTTCCTGTCCATTTCCTGAAGTCAGTGTAGATGTCCTGGGACATGTCTGTCCTTATTTCCCTGCTGTACTGTACAGTCTTTTGTCCCAGCTCAGGAGTAGTCAAGGCGTGAGCTGTCCATTGTATAGACCGTGTAGAAGGCTGGAGCGCTAGTGTGTGTGTGTGCGTGTGCGCGAGAGATTAGGGAATAGAGATCCCTTTACAATTCTTTCTAGACATCAAATCCATGTATTATTCAGGACAGTGGAGCATATTCATTCTTTGTCTTAATGCAGAGGCCATTACTTCCATGCAAGCTGTCACAAACTCATGCGTTTTACCCAGGGTATAGAACATGTAGATTTTTCTTTGACACGTGATATTCAATTAATGCAGCATCCTGTGCCCTTCCTGCTAAGGACAGACGTAATTTCTATTTTTGTTTTTGTTTTTTTGTTGTATTTTCCCAAATAACAACAAGCAGACAGTTTTGTTCCCTCTTGCATACAAATGTTACTCTATGTTGTGTAGATGACAGGTGGATTTTTCCTATTGCATGCTTCCTATTCACCAGACTCTTCATGCTGATGCGGAATTCAGGCATTTTATTGTGGCAAGCATGTGTGCTTTCTTCCAGTATATAATCTAATGGTATAATCGCCTTTTTAGTGTTAAAAACAATGTAGTGCACGGTCCAACCTGGTTGACTAGAAACTGAATCT